AAATCTTGAAGGCTTGAATTACATGTTTGTATACTTAATCTATGCTAAGAAAAGAAGAATTTTTCTCTTTCATTGGCAGAGTCATTGGAAAACTAGGTAAAAAGAGTGTTCTTCAGGACCCAGGCACCACTGAACTAGCTGAGCAGGCTGGGCATCAGACCTGGGCTCGGTCTGGAGGCCTCAGGCTGTGGTAGAGTCCAAATCTATTCATTAAAGGTGTTAATGGGGCAGGGACCTAAACAAGCATGGTCTTGGTTGGATCTTTTCCACTTATTATTGCAGGCCTCCTGAGCTCTGTCCATCTTGTTAGAGAGACCACCTTATATACTCCAACTTATAATAGGAAACTCTAGTTGAAGGGTGATGTTATGACTCTTATGATGTTATTATCCATTCAGTAGTAACTGGAATTGTTATTAGGGCCTAATAACAAATGAGTACCTGTTTTTCCAAAGTGGTATAGTAATTGATCACTGTGGGGAGCTTGTACCCTGGAAGCCTTGTGATCATTGAAACTAATCACTTCTTGGTGACTGCCAAAGGCTCCATTTGGCCTGCTCCTTATGGACAGAGACATTCAAAACCATCAGCACCAGGGAGTCATGGAAGACGAGAGCCCGCTGGACAACTGGTTTTAGGTTCTCCAGGGTTGTAGCTTGTTCTGGACCCTACCTGAAAGAGGCAGACTTGCAAATGACTAAATAAATTGGGGTCAGCAGAATGCCCAGGTAGAGACAAAGAGTCTACTAGCTCCTACGCTCTGTATTGATTTGTGGTGAAGTAACCATCAGCCATTTGTTCCAGATCATGCCAGGAATAATTTGAATTCTCCCCATTCACAGTATCCCGCCATTTTTGAATGGGTAGGTTGGACTTTGTATTTTCTTTAGGTTGATTTCCTACCTCTTGTCCCTCATATAGGCTACTTTCCAACCTAGACTCTCTGCCATCATGGCCTTATCTTTGGTCAACATGATGTCATCAATATTGTGATGGATATTAATGCCTTCAGGGACTGAGACCTCTTTCAGGTCTTTGCTCATCAGATCATGGCTCTACCAGGTAGTTGTTAGCCCCAAAAGATGGTGAAAGTATACTGGACTCTTTCATATATGAATGCAAACTCTTCTTGGCTAGTTTCAGCCACAGGAAGAGAGAAAAAGGCATAATCCCATACCACTCACCCATGGCCTGGGCTGCCTGTTCTACCATATAGGAGGTTTGGAATGGTTACAGTAATTGGCATGACAACTCTGTTCAGCAGCTTGTAAGTTGCCAGATGACATCCACCTTACTCATTGGCCACATAGGGTTATTGTAAGGAAAAAGGTGGTAGCAAATTACTTTAGCTTCCCTTGTCTTCCTCACTAGAGAAGAAATAGCTTTTGTACCTCTTCAGACCTGGTGTTTGATGTTAACAATATAGGATTAACTAGGCAACTCCAAAGGTTTCTGTTTAGCATAATGCACAGTAACTGGCATAGAGGTTGCTATCAGTGCTCATATAACTACTGACTCCTAAGAGTGCATGTTGTACTTGAGTGGCCTGGGACTGCCAACACAAGTTCCTTATAGAAAAGGGTGTCAACACCCTCTGCCCATCTAGAAGGGTAGAGGATGGCATACTTTATCCTGTTATCTCCAAAGTGCCCTAAGTTCCTCTTTACATTGATAGTTGCTATGTTGATGAATTCAAATTTCTCTACTTGGTGTGTGTGCACGTATGTGTGTATGCGTGTGTACATGCACATCTAACGGTTCCTGACATCGACAGATCTTAGGATCTAAGGGACCACAGTAGGGTCCACCAAACCTGTTTTTTTAAATTTTAATTAATTTAATTTAATTAAATAATTTAACTTAATTAAAAGTATCTTTTTAATTTTATTTTTAATTTTGCCCCCTCCCTTGACAATGCCCCAGTGGAGACCCTTACAGAGGGAGATCACCTTTGCTAGGCCGGGCTTGTGAAACTCCTCATCTTAGCCATCTGAAAATGGAGAGAGTTCAATTCCCATCTGGGGCCACTAGCCGTTTTAACTGACTTTGCAAATGTAAATCCTCTATGAGATTCCCCAAACTAATGTAATTGGAAGCTGAGAAGAGATATTCATCACCCCATTTAGACCATGACCTCACCAATCATTGTTCTAGTGATTCATCAGAGTCTCATCTAACCTTATCCTAAGCCTCCTCAACTTCTTGTTAGTCAAAGACCACATGCCCTCTCACCCTCAAATTGGAAGTAACCCCTCTAGGGGTGGTGATAGGATAGGCTCAAGATTTCCTCACTATTGGGGAAGGTTCCTTTTTTTCTCCTTGCTCTCACTTCTATTATCTCCCTCTATGGCCCTGATTTCAGTAGGGCTATTTCACTTTTTTTTTTTTAATCTCCAGGTTGGAGACTATACTTAATGCCCATAGGTCAGTCTCTGTTTCCATCAGTTTCACGACTTTTATTTGTGCTATTACTCAGTTCCTGAATTGTACTCTGACTTCAAGGTGCAGTCCTCAAAGACCAAAAGCACATTCATCCATTTCCAACAGCTGATAGTTTGCTTTGGGTTTCCTTAAGCTGGCAATCCAGTTTTTCTAGGGCCATTAACAACAGGCAGGGAATGAATGCCAACAATATCCTTATTCTCCTTGTCCACTTTCTCGAAAACTCAAAGACTAATCAATGAAGACCCCTTTTTGACCCCAGGGGGAGGACTTGCTATGTGTGGCTAAAAGTAGCAGTCTTCTATACCAGGCCACTCAATCCCATGGAACTCCTCTCTTTCCCCACTTCAGGTATAAGATCCTTATATATTGATTGTATAGGTTATTCCAAATGTTCAGGGCCAGGTGAATCTGGTAGTCCAGGCTAGGGATTAGAATGAAATGAGACACTTACAAATCACATAACACTTAACAAAAGAAGGTTATTCCACAGTAGCAGGGAGGAGAGATTCAGCAAGGATGTAATGTTGGTTCGCTTGGATGCTACTCAACTTAGTCTCATTTCCCTGATTTCCTACAGTGGCACATTCAGTCAGAACCACGTCCTCACCCTTCTTTCACCTAATGGTTTTTTAAAAAAAATTTCTGTTTGCTAATGTATAAGGCACTTCGATCCTATCAAGGGTGGGAGCTACTTCCTTAAAAAAGCTGTGTTCCCGGTGTGGTCAGCTATTTTGAAAATAAAAGCTTTGAGCAAACATGGCTGCAAAAATAAAAGTATTTTTTTATTCTACAACGGATTTTACAAAATTGAAAAGATTTTCTTAAAGAATTAATGCAATTAGACTGAGAAGAGAAGCAGTCAACTAAGAAAGATCTTTGCAGTGAATTTCTTTGACAGAGGTCTGCTATGCAATCTATATAGGGAATTGATACAAATATATGAGAACAAGAGCCATTGCCCAATAGATAAATGATCAAAGGACATAAAAAATCAATTCTCAAAAGAAAATAGATAACTACATAAAAATGTTCCAAATTACTAACATGAACAGAAGTTCAAATAAAAGTAATTCTGAATATCCCCCTCGAACCCATCAGTTGGCAAAGATGACAAAAATGGAAAATAACAATAACATGTATATGAGGTGACATTCAAAGAAAGACACAGTTAGAAACCGGTGATGGAGTTTTGAATTGATCTAACCATTCTGGAAAGCAATTTGGAACTATACACACACAAAAAAATCACTAAAATCTGCATGCCTTTTGACCCAGGGATAAAACTACTATACCTTAAAGAGATCAAAAAAAGAAGAAAAGGAACCAATTGTTGAAAAAAATATTTATGGCAGCTATTTTTTGCTGTAGCAAAGAACTGGAAACAAAGTGGATTCCCATTAACTGGGGAATGACAATAAATTATAATATATGAATGTAATGATATATTATTGTGCCATAAGAAATGACAAAAAGAATGGATTCAGAGAAGCCTGGGAAGATTTCTAATGCAGAGTGAAGTGAGCAGAACCAAGAAAACAATTTATGTAGTTACTGCCATAATGCAAAGGAAAATAATTTAGAAACATTGAAGAACTCTGATCAGTGTAATGACCAATCATGTCTCCCAAAAGATGATAATGAATCATGCTTCCCACCCCATGGCAGGGACGTAATGGGCTAGAGGCTGCAGGCTGAGAGATATATTTTTGGACAGGGACAATGTGTGAATTGTTTTGCTTCATTTTGCTTATTTGTAACAAAGTAGGGCTTTTATTTTGGGGTGGGAGAGGAGAATTGGGAGGGGATTTGTGGGATAGAAATAATGAAGCAAAAAGGAGAGGAAACAGCATCAATGAAATGAGAATAATACACCAAAGAGAGTATAGGGATGTTCAGAAGGAGACATTGACGAGCAGGGTAGTATTGGCACTGTTGTGTTAAATGTAATATATACTTTAACAAAGGAAGTTGTTGTATAATGGTGACTTCATATACACAGTTTCATATACAATCCTCTTTTTCTGTTCTTTGTAAATATCATGTTTGTTAAGTTCATAATGAATATATTTTAAAATACGATAATTTATATAACAGGGTAGGGTCTAGGATTTAAGAGTTGAAAGAGACTTCTGATATTGCCTTATTTTACAAATCAGTAAAATGTGGACTTAGGAGGTAAAGTGGTTTGGCCAAATTTTTCATGCATCTAGATAGTGGCCGAACTGGACTTAGGAGCCAAATTGCCCAATTCTCAACCCAATGCTCCTTTCTTTATGCTGACAAATGATTTATCCTCTGAAGTGAGATAATATTAATATATTGGTTATTCACTCTCAGTTATAGCATGAAGAATTCTATAATTCCTGAATATTTTAGGACACTCCAGTTACTTTAATCTGACTCTATATATAGTTGCCTACCCTTGGACTAGAGTTCCACTTAGGATTTTGGCTATCTATGGGCTGGATTTTTCTGGAAGGGGCTCATGAACTATGGAACAAGAGTTTTCCTGGGGTTGTGACTGCCCTTCTAATGCTCTTTTCTTCTCCCTACAGTACTGGATCAATGAGTACACTTCTACTCTGGGCATTGGTGTGTTCCATTCAGGCATCGAGATTTATGGCCGAGGTAGAGCCTCCTGTACAGTTAACTGGGGGGGTGAGGGTGGTGGTGCTGATTTAATTTGGGGCTTTTCCATGTGGGATGATGGGCTAATCCCGTGGGGAGAAGGTGTGACGAAGTTGGCGAGTAAACACACAGGTTATTGGGAAATACAGAGAATAAAGGCCAGAAGAAGTAATAGGTCTGTTTTCTGTAACACCCTTAGCAACTTTTACCTGAGAAGTGAAACTGATAGGGGAGGAAGGAGGGCAGCATGGGGGAGTTCTTGAAGGGGGTCATTTTTGTAGGCTCTGCTCGGGTCACATCCAAGGGCATCTCCTAGTCAGGATGAGACAATGGCCCTAAAGTCTGAGAAAACTTTCACAATGCTGAACTACTAGACAGATGGTGCAGTGATTTAAACCATCATCGCATTCTGCAAAAGTGGTCCAAGGGACCCCTCAGAGACCTCTAGGCAGATTTGATATCGCACCATAGATTTAGAAGTGGCGAAGACTTTAGTGGGTCATTTAGTATATCTCCAACTCTCTCACTTTACAGATGTTACAATCCTCCTGCAAACATCTCCAATATCATTTCCTTTTAGAAATTATTATAGTACTTTGAACAGAATGGAAATAAAAACCTCATTTAAAAAGTCACAATAGGCACAAGAACTCAGACTTTTGGGTACTGTGGTCTGACTATACCAAGACTTAAAAACTAAGAGTTCTTTAGTAGAATCTCATCACATCATAAATGCATAACCACATTGCTTTGTTTTAAAATAAAAGTTTCTTCTGCAAACAAGGAAATACAATTTAGTAAAGTTATATTATAGGGCAACTAGATGGTGCAGTGGATCAAGCACTGGGCCTGGAGTCAAGAAGATCTGAGTTCAAATCTGACTTCAAACACTTAACTAGCTGCGTGACCTGGGCAAGTCATTCCCTACTTGCCTCAGTTCCTCATCTGTAAAATGGTGACACACCGGAGAAGAAAATGGCAAACCATGTATAACATCCATGGAGTCATGTAGAGTGGGACATGACTGAACAATAACAAGTTATACTATACGGATGGAAAATCTTTCAATATGGACTAGTTGTGGTTTGTTAAAAGAGTGAGCTACATATTGAAGCTCTGATACGTAGCACCTCAAATTTATGAGCCCTACACATTTTTTTTTTAGGCAATTGGGGTTAAGTGACTTGCCCAGGGTCACACAGCTAGTAAGTGTCAAGTGTTTGGTTAGAAGCCGAATCTGAATTCAGGTCCTCCTGACTTCAGGGCCGGTGCTCTATCCACTGTGCCACCTGGCTGCCCCCAGCCCTACACATTTGAGATGAAGATATGCTCATGTTTTGATAGTTGAACCACACCTCAATGTGTTCCATTTCCAATGGGGTGTCATTTCTAATGAGGTCAAGAGAGGTTACATTGTTTGTATTGAGGGCATATAAGTAGTAAGTTGCAGGGATGGGAACCCAGTAGTACTCTTTCCTCTCGTCCTTCATTTTAACACTTTGGGGGGGGGTAGATCATGCTATTCATGACAAACTTGCTATCATATTAGGGGAGGACTTTGACTCAGACACAAGTTTTGTATTCAGAATTATTCGTGATTTAGGCTATGTTTAAGTTTTGTATTCAGAATTATTAATGATTTAGGCTATGTTTGGTACAAGAGAGGTGGTTATATGTGTGTTCTGGGCAGGAAAAATCCTGTAGGAGCGTAGTGTCTGCCTGTAGGAATATCCAATGGGCCCTAGCCTCCTCCTGGGAACCTTAAGAATCTCTATATTCAGGGCCCTCATATCTCTTTCTCATTGATAATGTCCATTGTCTTCATTGAAATGGGTACATACTAAGCAGGTGGTTTTACTATGATTGGAAAAGGGAACAGGAAAATCCTGGGAGTCAGGAAGGTAGAAACTAAAGCCCTATGCCTAGGCCAGAATACTGTAGGGTCTGGGTTCAACTTTATAACCCAGTTATAGCCAATATTGGGATTAAGAAGAAGACCATTGGTAAAGATCAGGAGGTTTACGATGAGAGAATTGGGAGGGTTGTGAAAGATGGGGGACTATTAGGGAAAGAAAGAGGAAGGTCCCAGAGGGCAAAGGCAGAGACTGCTGTCCTGATGACATGGCCAAGAGAAACCTAATGGTGGTTGTTTCTGAGGCATCTTCTCTGATTTATCTGACTCTTGTGATCTCTTCCTCCCTTGTTTAGAGTTTGCCTATGGGGGCCATCCTTATCCTTTCAGTGGGATCTTTGAGATTACACCTGGAAGTGCAGTGGAGCTGGGAGAAACGTTTAAATTCAAGTAAGGAACCTTCCTCCCCCGGCCCTTCTTCAAATCCTTTCCTAGACATTCTTTCAGGGAAGTTCCTTATTTGGCCCATTAGTCCCCTTCCTCAGTTGGCTTAAGCTCGAGGGTCTATCCCAGGCGGCTTCTTCAATGGATAAAGTTATAAATATGATCCAGAGGATGCTGAGGTTGCAAACTGGAGACATGAGAGTTTTGGGGGGAGGTGTTCAATGACGTATGCTTAGTGTAGGAAAAGAAAGGAAGGAGGGAATGGGGCTTGACCCATGTCCTCAAATTGGAAGAGTGATTGTTCATACTTTTACATGAAGTCACGCAATGTCCTAAGTCATTCGGTGTCCCCAAGGCATTCTTCTGAAATAGAAAATGGGAGGAGCTCAGATGTTCAAAATTCAAATATGCTGTGCTGGAAAGAATCTGGTTCTATGGTCTTTCATTATTGGTGACTCCATACTGGTATATCTTGGGAGAATGTATGAGGAACCAGGTCAAAGCCCTAGTTCTAGGCTCTATTCTCACTTTCCTATCCCCCTGAGGACAAATATGAGATTTGTTCTAAGTCCATTGCATTATTGCTCTGGCCACTCACTCTTCTCTCACAAGTCCAAAATGTATTGCTGTGGCTCCCAAGTTCAGCCTTCACATTTGCCAGCACTGATTCTCACTCGTCAGTCTCACAAGAATATATATACCCAGAATTCTTTCACCCAACAGAGAATACTTTTTAAGCTTCCATATTCACAGCACCTAGGGCCACAAGCTATTACTTAAGTTTGCGCAGCATTTTACAATTTAAAAAACATTTCACAAATATGATCTTATTTAATCCTCATAACTACATAGGGCATCAGCTCTTGCATGTATTATTATTAATTATTATTTCCATTTTATAGAGGAGGAAACTGAGGCTTGGAGAGGTTGTATCCACACATGGTCACATGGGTAGCGAGTGATGAAATTGGGACTCCGTTTGGCTCTAATCAATATTCACCATCCCTGAAACTATTGTTTTTTTGTGCTTCTAGTGGGCTCTTAATAAATGTTTGTTGATTGATTTTAAATACTCTGCTTCTCCTTTCCCCAGCTGCAAATGCCTGTTTCTCCTTCACAGACACTTCGATAAAGTTGGAGAAGGAGAGAAAGAAATCACAAAAGGACACAGCTACTTTTATTGTCCTCCCTCAGAACCACAGTGTTTTGTGCTCCGTGTGTGTGTGTGTGTGTGTATGTATGTATGTGTGTGTGTCCGTGTGTGTTTTCATGTATGTATTGGAGGATCTATATATAGCCTTCCAAGTTGGAAGATATAAATTTAAGACTTTAGAAGTTGGCCTGGTATATAAACAGAATGATCATTCTCTGCCGCACTAGAGGAACTCTTTTGGTGAACCAAGCTCCATTTTCCCCTCTTGCTTCTCAGGCCTCTTGGTCAATGGGGTTGTCCCTACTATCCACAGGGGTTGGCTATACACAGCTGGAGGTCTTCTCTCACCTTAATATTTCCTGCCACAGAGAAGCCATAGCCCTGGGCACCACTGACTTCACAGAAGAAGATGTGGACAAGATCTTGGAGGAGCTGGGGAAGGAGTACAAAGGCAATGCCTACCACCTCATGCACAAGAACTGCAACCACTTCTCAGATGCCCTGGCAGAGGTGAGCGTCAGCAGGGGCCTTGGGTTCATTCATTCACTTCATTCCTGGCCTAGGAGAGGAGTCATGAGATCTCGGTCCCGGTGCCAGCTACTTCTCTCTGGACTTCATTTATAAAATTGCAATGGGAATTTGGCACATGCTTAGATGCCCCCCAAGATAGCATCACCAACTTTAGGTGGCCTAGACACGTGCCAAGCCCCCATTATAAAAGTAAAAGGGAATAGACTATATAGTAAGATTCAGCATGGCCTAGAACAGTGATTCTTAAGCTGGTGTTCATGAACCCACTTTTAAAAAATATTTTGATAACTTTATTTCTATATGATTGCTTTCTTTTATAATCTCATGTATTTAAAGACATTCTGAGGGGCAGCTAGGTGGCACAGTGGATAGAGCACCAGCCCTGAAGTCAGGAGGACCTGAGTTCAAATCCGGCCTCAGACCAAACACTTGACACTTACTAGCTGTGTGACCCTGGGCAAGTCACTTAACCCCAATTGCCTAAAAAGCAAAAAAAAAAAAGACATTCTGAGAAGAGATCCTGAGGCTTCATGGGACTGCCAAAGGGAGCCATGACACAAAAAAGAATAAGAACCCCGGGCATAGAGGATAATGGACCAACCAATCTTGGCATCAGGAAGACCTGGGTTCAATCCCTGCCTCTGAAATATACCAGTTATATGAGTTTGGGCAACTCACTTAACCTCTCAGTGGCGTAGGGAACTTTCTAAGTTGCGGATTAGTTGCTGATCTTCGTTGATAGTTGGAATTTTCACATACAAGTTCTCTACATCAGTAGTTCTCCAAGTGTGACCTGGGGACCCTTGGGAATCCCCAAGATCTTTTCAGGGCATCTGTGAGGCCACAACTATACGGTAAATATTGATAGATCCTGCATAAATAAAAGTTCAATAATTTTTAAGAGTACAAAGGGATCCTAAGACCAAAAAGTTTGAGCTGCCTTATATTGGTCTAGGCGGAAAATCTAAATAATTAATTGTAGCTCTAAGTTTTATAACAATAACTACTGAGCAGTTACCATGTTCGGGCATGGTAGAGATTTAGAACCTGACTTCAGAGCTCTAGGCACTGTCCTAGGTACTAAGAGAGGATTCAAAGGAAGAGAAACAATTAGAATACAATGTTAACACATGAAACAATTAAAGAAAAACGTTAAGGTATCCTAGCAACTAATGCATAATAGTGTATTGGGGACTGGATTGAGGGGATAGGCCTATGACCCACATCCAGTGGTACATATATTCTGGCTGTCTCCCTTGCTTGGAATTCTTTCCCTCCTCATCTCCACCTCCTGTCTTCTCTGGTAGAAAGGAAAGATATGATTATTACAAGTAAAGGGAGTAGCCTGAGCTTTTTATTGCTAAAGCCAGGGAGCTTGAAAGGACAGGGCATGGTAGGAGCCAGAGGAGAAATCTTTCGAGCCTGACTCAGATCTCTTTCTTGGCAGCAGCTTCCCTCTTATCACGGCTCTGCAGCAAAGGTGAAAGTAAACCCTGCCCTTCGTGAGTTTTGCTCTTGTGACCGCGTCGCTCTTCTGGGTTTGTATCCTGGTTCAGCTAAGGCGGCTGTTCTCAAGGGTCGTGTCCTCAACTTCTGCTGGTCCATGATGCTCCTCCACGCACCCTATGGGCCAACTGAAAATGCAAGCCGTGGGAAAATGCACTGCTGAGGCTGCTGTTTTAAGTCTATTTCATCATCGAAAATTTTACTTTGTCATGTAAAGCGCAGTGATGCATTGAGACAGAGTTTGTGACAAAAAAGAGACTGACCCTTCTCTTCAGAGGTCAAGATCCTTTTAGGACTGATCTTGGTCCAGTATTGAATGGTGAGATTGGAAGCCATGGCTGAGAGTGGCCCCTTAGAGGAGTGGCAGAGAAAGAGTGAACTAGCCCAGAATGGAATTTTGAAGGGCTGATTGAAGTCAGCGTTGAGTACTTAATCCTTTTTGGGAGCCGCTTGTGTTTGGAGCTCATTTGAGGTTTTAGTTTAGTTTTTTTTTTTTTATTTTTTGGTCTGCTTGTCCTATTGTGGAATGAGTTCAGAACTCTATTTGGATTGCTCTGTGCATAACAGGGATCCATGAGGATGTCTTAGTTTTTTCAGGGATCTGTTGGGGAAGTTTGGGGTGCCTTTTATATTGCTGTGACTCAGAGTAATTTTCATTCAGGCTGGTTTTGTTATTTTACTTGAGAGTAAGACATCCAGTCTAGTCCCTAAGGGGAAAGCCCCACATATTCTGGGAGCTCACTAGGGACTAGAGTCTTCTCTGAGAGAGGCGACTCAGTTTTTCCTTCTCCTTTTCTGTATTTTTCACAAATGTTAATTTGTTTGTATTATTCTAGTTTTCATTTTTTTTCAGTTACTTGGGTTGGGACAGGTCCTTATAAGTACTAGGCAGACTGTAATCAATGCTAAGCTTTGTAAAATGCCATTTGTTGAATTTACAAAACTTTGTATTTGGAAGTGATTTTAATCCTTAGGCCCACCAGTAATGCTAGACCTGGGGCCTCACAAAAGACCATTAATTTTGAAAATGTCTAAGAGCTGTGCTGAACAGAGTGTTTGGGAGCCTTTATGTGTCATTTAGGAGACCATTAAGACTCCGCCTAGTGGAGTTTATTGGGACTTTTAAGGGCAAGGCACAGGAGGAGGCACTTGAAAGAACAATACTTGATTTCCTTCCTCCTCTACCACTGCCCAGCTTTCAGAGAACTTTGGAGAATTAAGAATATGTTCCAATTGCACCCCAGTGCCTCCATGTCTTCTCCTGTCCTTCACTTCTCAATTCTTGCCATATGCCTTCCAACCTCATCACTTAACTGAAAATGCTCTCTCCAAAGCTAACAATGATTTCTTAATTGCCAAATTTAAAGGTCTTAGCTTTGGTCTTCATCCTTCTTTGTCTCTCTGCAGCAATTGGTTATCTTTTCCTGTTGATCACCTTTTCCTCCTGGACTTTCTCTCCTCTTTAGCTGCTCTCTTACAGTTTTCTTCTTACCTGTCTGACTGTTCCTTCTCTGCCTCCTTTGATGGATCTCTGATCAAGTCATTCCTATTAAGCATGGTTGTCCCATGAGGCCATCTCCTCTTTTCTCTCTGTACTATCTCATCAGTTCTCATGGGCTCGATATCATTTCTATGTAGACAATTTCAAGATCTATACATCTAGCCCAAGTCTCTCTCCTGAGATCCCGTCCTGGAACATCAACTGTTATTGAATATCTCAAATTGAACAAAACTCATCTTCCCCCTCTCCCCTCTCCCTCCTGTCAACCCATCCTCTTCCAAACTTCCTTATTCTTGTTTCAGATACCACTGTCCTTCCACTCAGTTTCTCAGCTTTGGTGTTATCCTTTACTCTTCACTCAATCATCCCAAATATCCAATCCACTTAAAAATCTTGTTTCTACCATCACTACACATCTTGGATGGGCTTCCCTTTTTCCACAATCCTAGTTCAGGCCCTCTTTGCCTTTCTTTTTCTTCTTCTTTTTTTTTTTGTACTTCTTTGCCTTTCAATTGGACTATTGCTATAACCTTCTAATTCATCTCCCTTCCTCAACTGTCTCCCCACTTAGAGCCATCATCCACACAGCGAGCAAAGTAGTTTTCTTAAAGTACAAATGGCTAACATTAGATATCACATCCCACTCCCCTTTCCTGCCATGGAGAAGTGTAGATCTGATCATGTCACTACTCTTACCCCAACACCCCATTCAATAAACTCAATTGGCTCCCTATTACTTCCAGGATCAAACATAAAGTCCCGTGTTTGGCATTTAAAGTCCCTTGTAACCTGACCTCTTCCTATCTTCCAAGTCATCTTACTCTATTCCTCCAGCCTACTTGCTGATCCTTGCAGCAACACCTAATCTCCTGTCTCTGTGCCTTTCCATTGGCTATTCTCAATACCTGAATTTCTTTCCCGACTCACTCACTTCTGCTTCACAGAATTCCTGGCTTCTTTGAATGCTCAGATTCACTGCCTCTAGGAAGCCCTTCTAGAAAGCCTTTCCCTCTAAGGTTATCTTTCACCTGCTCTACATGTATCTTCTATGTACCTGTTTATTTACATGTTGTTTTCTCCATTAGACTGTGAGCTCCTTTGCGTTTTCTTTTTATATTCCTAACACTTAGTACAGGGTCTGCCACATAGACGTGCTTGATAAATACTTATTGACTGAAGAAAAATTGAGAATATTTCAATCTACATAGAGGCATTATGGCTTAGGCAGAAATAGACTCTCCCACAATAAAAGGGGTTCTTGAAAATGTTTGTTTGTATTGTCCTTTTTTTTTTGGAAAAAGTATTCATATTCCATTTATATTGTATTTGACATGGCCAACGAATTCATTTATACAGTTTTCCTTGATTTTCTGAAGCCTATTTAAAAGACCATCTGAAATGGAAAAAAAATTGCACTAACTTTTTTGGTTTCCATATTACTCTTGGGATATATCTATGTCTATATCAGCATCTCCTTTTCAGATGAATGGATCTAGCCACTTCTCTCTCATATTGCAGTTGTACAGTTGCTTTTTGAGCCCAAATATAAAAGTTTACCTTAATCTCAATTACATCTCATCTTATTTAGAGTCAACCCAGCATTCTAGCCTGTGCAGATCTTTCTGTATCCTGACTTTGTCATCCAACTTGTTAGCTATCTCTCCCATTTTTTGTCACCTGCAGATTTGATTAGCTTGACAGTTATGCCTTTATCAAGGTAGTTAATAAAATGTTAAACATCCTAGAGGCAAACACAGATCCCTGGAGTGCTCAGCTGAAGACCTCTATTGAAGCTGACATCAAGTCTTTTGGTCTGGCTGTTCAACCATTTCTTAAAGCACTGTGACGGATTCTTGTTCAACTCTGCTCTTTTCACAAGTACCACACGAAATACTTTGTCAAATGATTTACTTCAAATTTAGGTAAACTATTTCTATGGCATTGCCCTTATTTTCTCAGTCTAGGAATAGGT